TCCGAAGAAGTGGGTTGTAGCCCACGAAAGCTTATGCTCTAAGAAATTTGTTAGTCTCTAAGGTGCCACAAGTACTCCTGTTCATTTTGTTTCTGTTTGTGGGAAGTTTTGTAATGTAAAAGCAAAGGAGGGATTTGGACTTGGCATTCCCATGTTTCGGGAGAGTGCCCTAACCACCGTGCTATAGGCTCATCTAGCATGGGTCTGTGGCAAAGTTGCTACTCCAGTACATCCCCTCCTGCCTAGCTGTGGCACCTTGTACTTCAGTTTTCCCCTACTGTCCTTCAGCCTACTCAAGCTGTAGAAGTCTCCTGGCCCTCGGCCAAACTACTTCATAGAGTCCTGCCCCTTCCAGGGCCCCACAGGGGTCCAGCCCAGGCCTGTGCATCTACACAGCAATTCTAGTCCTGCAACCCAAGCCTGAGTCAGGTGGTATGTCTACACAGGGATTAAAAGCCCCGTGGCACAGCTGTGGCTAGCCTGGGTCAGCGGGCTTCAGGTGCGGGACTAAAAACTGTTGTGTAGATGTTCAGGCTTGGGCTGGACCCTGAGCTATGGGACCCTGTGAAGATAAGAGAATCCTAGAGCTTGGGCTCCAGCCCAAGCCTGAATGTCTACACAGCAATATTTAGTCCCACAGCCTGAGCCCCGTGAGCCTGAGTCAGCTGACCTAGACCAGCCGCGGGATTTTGTATCCCGTTAACGAAATCCAGCAGAAATACTCAAAATGATGCAATATTCAGCCCCCTTGGGCTCAGCAGCCCACCTCTTCCTGCAGGCATGCCTTGGCCACTGTAACTTGTCCCTACGTTAGTCCCATGCTCCTGTGCCCCCAGAGGCTAGCCGGCTCATCCCTTTTTTCAGGGGTTCAAGCAGGCTTTCAGTCTTCGGGGTTCACCCTGGGGGTAGCCTGTATGCTCTTTTTCCCTCTCTGCTTCCCAGCCTCCTTTCAGGCTGTTTGCCAGAAAATAGGCACTTCCCCCTCCTCTCCTCTGGTTATCCCCCCTCCAGCTGGACTCACCCAGCTCTTTATGAGAATCCCCTGGTGGGTCCAATAAATAGGTTGAGCCACCTGTTCTCCAGTCAACCTGATCTGTCACGGGCTGGACCATTAAGGGCCAGCCAGCCTGTGTTGGTGTCACTCTCAGGCTAGGTCTACACTACGGGGGGGGGCGTGGACCTAAGATACGCAACTTCAGCTACGTGAATAGCATAGCTGAAGTTGCGTATTTTAGGTCGACTTACCTGGCTGTGAGGACGGCGGCGAGTCGACTGCTGCCGCTCCGCCGTCGACTCCACTTCCGCCTCTTGCCGCAGTGGATTTCCGGAGTCGACGGCAGAGCGATCAGGGATCGATTTTATCGCGTCTTCACTAGACGCAATAAGTCGATCCCCAATAGATCGATTGCTACCCGCCGATCCGGCGGGTAGTGAAGACGTGCCCTTAGTCTCTCTTGTTGAAGCAGTTCTGTTTGGTATAAAGGACTTGAATAGTCACTGAGCCAGAGAACGTGAGTGACCCTTAGGCTGGAGGTTAGGGTTCTCATCTGGGAGGTGGGAGACCTGCTCCACATCAGACAGAGCGGGGAATTGAACCAAGGTCTCGTACATCCCTGGTGAGTGCCCTAACGCCTGGGCTAAACGTTATTGTTGGTTTTTTGCTCACTGGAGCAGCCAGAGGAAGCTCTTCATCTCTATGCCAAAAATGTAACTGACAGCAAAACTATGGAGTACACTCACAATGCAGGATTGGAAGGCTCCACCTGTTGATGATGGGGTGCAACCTCCAAACTTCTCTAGCTTTGGACGTAATTATCCAGTCCTGCACTAGGGACTTTAGGTCCAAAAGTAAAATACTGCATGATGGTATGTTTAAAAAATAAAACGCACAGTAGATTCCTTGTGTAGACAACTCAAGTTTCATTTAGAGTATGTTAATTTTAAAAATAACTGAATTACATGGGATCATTTCAAACTTCCTGAAATCTTTAGATTCATTTGAACCAGGAGATAAAATGATATTCCTTCTTTCCACTAGGGTCTAAGATTGAAAATGATAATTCCTTGATTCATAGAATTAGTGCTTTAATGACATGACAGATTGTTTTCAACACACAATGGCAAAGGCAAACTGTCACACTGAAGAGCTGCTAGAAGACCAGAATAAGATTTCTAATATTTTCATATTTCTGTTTCAATTATGGCATTGACAGTAATTTGTAGGGTCAAACTCAAAGTTCTGACCTTCGTCTTAAAAAGTGCTAATTTCATAAGCCAGAAGGGACCATTATGATGATCATCTAGTCTGACCTTTTGCATCACACAAGCTGTAAAATTTCACCAAGTAGTTCCTGCACCATACCCAGAACTTTTAGCAGGACTGAAATCATGAAGGTCAGGTATAATCACAGAATCCGTCACCAACTCATAGCCTTAGTTATACCCATAGTACACTTGACAAACCAGGAAAATTATTTTAGTAGCAGCATTCTATATGTATTTAAGGGGGAAAGTTGTAAACATCAAGGCCAGAGAGAAGGTTGCAAGCCTCAAGCGGGGAGAGAATTAGGGCCTGAACAAGACTTTAGTGATGAGCAGGAGTTGAAAGGAAAAGTCAGGTCCTGGAGATGTAGATATAGGTAGGTGTCAACCAAATTTGCAGCTGTGAAAATTGCATCACAAACGGTGAAATCTGGTCTTTTGTGTACTTTTATACTATAGGGTAAAAGTACACAGTGTTTCTCAAACTGTGGAATCCAACCCAAAAGGGGATCACAAGTCCACTGTAAGGGGGGGGGGGTCACAGGATTCCCACCCCTACCTCTGAGCTACCCTCACAGCTGAGCGGCCAGCAGCCACCAGCCTTCACAGCCAGGCAGAGGGCCAGCAGCCGCCACTCTCAGCTTCAGAGCTGGGCCGCCGGAGAGCAGCAGCCACTGGCCGGCTGCCCAGCTCCAAAGGTGGCATTGCCGCCAGCAGCAGCACGTAAGCAAGGGTGGCATGGTATGGTATTGCCATCCCTACTTTTGCACTGCTGCTGCTGGCAGCTGCACTGTCCCCAGGATCTGGGCACCCGGCCAGCAGCCGCCACTCTCCAGCTGTTATAAAGGAGGTACCACCGCCTCCCCCTGTTTTATGAAGGGTGCCTAAGACACTACCTCTCCCCCCCCCCCCCCCCCCAAAAAAAATTTTTTTTGGCTGAAACTATTCAGCAAATTTGTGTCAAATTTGTAAATTGTTTCAGCTCAACCAAAACTGCATTTTTTTGCTGAATAAACTATTCTTCTGAAAAATTTCACCCAGCCCTTCTAATTGGCCATTTCCTTGTCCTATTTGTGATCTCCCAGACCTTCTCCACACACCCTACCATCTGTGATTGTGTAACATCCTTGTGGGAACTGCATTAGGTGTTTAATGGAGAAGTAACATTAGGAAAATTATTTATTTCTAGCTGCTGGTAATCGGAGAGCCAGTGCCATGTGAACTACCATTTCTCTGTGGGCCTTCAGCAAATGCTCAGTGGGCCACAGATTGAAGGCTGAGAACGTGAGCCAAACATCCCTAAGTGCTTGATGCTAGCAGTTGCTCTTTAAAAACAAAAAAAAAACAGAGAGAAGAAAAAAATTGGGGGGGAGGGGGAACTGCTCAGTTGCTGTGGATGTTAGTGTTGCGGAGGAAGCTGGAGAGCCACTGACATTTGTACTGGTTAGAAGTAGTCTGAGCTGGATTTTATTTACATATATGCACCATTTATGTATTGCCTAGATGTTGGAATTATCAAAGATCAGATTTAAATTAAATGGCAAGGTAAAAACGCAACAAAACATACAAAATTAAATCACTGTTTTTTTTCCTTCAGTCTTAATCACTTTGTGGTTGAAGATTCTTGTGTCTCCAAATTGGCAAATGAACGTTTATCACCCTCAGGAGCTCCTCTCTGCACTGATTTGTTCATCCAGCAGCAGGGGGAGTTGTGTGATCAGTCCAGGCACTCTCTCACCTATACTCCATTGGCCAAAGGCTTTACCGGCTACTTTAAAATCTGCCCCTAGCTCAGGCCTCGTTAATTAGTAGCAAAATGTGTCTTCATTAATAAGCTGCCCAATTGTGTTCTATATTCACGTCAGTGTTTTGGTAATTACTGCATGCTAGGGCTTGCTCCAGGGTGATGTGTCTTTCATATAAAGATAATGAAAAGAGTTGTTAAACTGATGCAGCTTCAATTTATGTTATCTGAGGAAAACAGTAACGTTTCCAAAACAAGACTTAAACCTGAGCTCCTCAGTAATTAACAGCCAGATACTACATGGAAAAATAGTCATTACATTTTTAAAAGGTATAAAGATTTTTCTTCTTCACTGTTTAAGCTAAGGAGTGAGGGATACAATTCAGTGTTGCGATGTACTATCCCAACTAATGTGGCGAACCTTAATCCCAAATAGTATCACTTCTTACTGAATCTCCATATGTTCATTTAAAAAAAAAGTTCTAAATTTATGTACTGAGTTTAATTTGTTCTGGTCAAACTTGTGCTAGTTATTAAAGTGCATATTGAATTGGGACTGGGGCTTGAAATATACAGGATACAGTTCCTGAATCTGAGTCTACTGCTTTGCTTCCCCTGTAACTCCTGTCTCCACACTTGCATATGAAAGCCACAGTGCCCCATGGACTTTGGCTGCTGGTGGGAATGGGGAAGGGAATTGTCTTGACAATTCAAGCCTTTCTTTTTGCTACCTTGCTTAGTAGATGTGTGAAGATTATTTCCATAGATTATGTTCTGAGCAAGAGCTCAGTAGATTCCCTGCAAATCATTTATTTTGCACAAAAACATTACAAGTGTCTGAGTGATATGCACAATGGTACATACAATCCAAACCATATAAATTTTAAAATAAGCACAAAGGGTTGTTTTAATAGAAAACCCATTTCCCACACTAGGTTACTTTAACAGGCATTAGTTTGCAAGACTAAAGCCTCCTAGTTTACAATGGATGTGGCATTCTGAAAGACTCTGCTTATTCTGCAGGCTTGGCATCACCTACTGCCATAACTCCAGTGGCATCCCCTTTCTGTAACAGGCTGAAGTCTACCACTCCAGTTTCAAAGCCTCTGGAAGGTAGGTAATCAAAAATAGCTGAAACTTATGATGAAGCTTTTATACGTGCTTTAATCACACTGTAACTATTTTTAATATTTTCATTTTGCTTAGAAATAGAAGCCAGGCCTGATATGCAATTAGAATCAGACATGAAGCTAGACAAGCTGGAAACATTCTTGGGAAGACTGAATAACAAAGGTATGTAAGAGTAATTTAAGAATGTAATAGACTCTCTACCTGATTTTTCAAATCAGTTAATGTATTTTAGTTACAGTACCTGGTAGCAGAACTTTGTGTACTTGTATTGTTCATTTCACCAAGACCATAGCAAAGGTTGTACACTTTTTTTCATGATTCAGTCTTTGCAAAATTTTGTTAGTCACCACCTGCTATTTGTTTTGTAGACAACAAAAAGCCTTTTTAAAAATCGTAATTCTTTTTTTGTACTGTCTCATCCCCACACACACACCCCACATCTTTTCCCATTACATTCTTGCTTCTAGTTAGTGCTTAATTTGTAATGAAAGACATGCCAGGGCTCAAGCAATTTTTTTACATTCCTAACTGATACAACAAGCCCAGAGGTGCCGGGGCTATGAACTGCCAAGTTTAGAGGTGCCAAGGCTCAGCCCTGGCAAACCCTGGCACAAATTAAGAACTGCTTCTAGCAAATTATCCAGATAACATTATAAAGTCGTATCACCACTTCGGACCTTGCATAAGAACCTATCATTACTTATGATAATCTGGCTTCCAATGCTGGTTCATTGTTTTAATCTTACTAATACCAAACCAGTGCATTGGTCATCTTCCCCACCCTCTTCACTGAAGTAATTTTTAAAAATCTTTTTATAGTGTCTTTTTATAATTCACTTTATAACTTGGTGTCTTTGATTGATTATAAACTAAGTTGTCCCCACATCTAGACATTTCAGGTTTTCCCATCTTTGTTTTGGGACCAAGACCTTATTTTCATATTTGGCATTTTGTCAAGCATGTCAGAAATAAATAAGTGTTTACACTGTTCACTGGAGGAGGTTAAAATGAGCAATTTAATGTGGTGAGGCACTAAAATAAGATCTGGATTGTGCCACTCTTATTAACCCTGAGTAGTGTCTTTCCCTACAAGTAACCTTGTTACATTACTTGAGGTGAGGATGGCAGAATTTGGCCTTCATTCTTTAGTGTAGGAAATCCATGCTACTGAGCACCACAGGCCCTGCACGTATCACCGTTGTGTCAAGCTATCTCATCTTAGGCTAGCTTTTAAATTTTATCTCTCAGTTTAAAAAAAAAAAAAATGCACAGAAAAACAAAAGACTACCACACACAACTTTAAGGTCAGAAACCCAGCATAGTATTTAAGAGAATCTTTCTTTTATCTGTATCTGCAGTTGGTGGGATGCAAGAAACCGTGCTAACGGTCACAGGAAAATCGGTGAAAGAGGTGATGAAGCTGGACGATGATGAAACCTTTTCCAAATTTTACCGTCACATGGATTGCCCCACTTCCACAGTGCCTTTGGAGCTTGATGAGGACTTTGATGCCATCTTTGATCCTTATGCACCAAAGTGAGCTCCTTCTCTTTCGCTGTTCTGAATGAATAAATATAAATTTTTCCACGATGTCTTACAAATGGCCGTTGGTCTCCCCTTTTTACCGGTCCCCTCCCCTCCCATCTTTACCCCAATAGGAGAAACCTTCCAACTTAACCAAATCTTTGCCCAGAGTTGGCTAACTTTAATCACAGATATGTAGAGCTCGCCAAAATGTTCAGTTGTAGAAATTTTTTTTTAGGTGTCTCTTAACAGTGGCCACATCCAATTCTTCTCTGGATTTCTGGAATACCCTTACGCATGCATCAGTGAGCTGACTTTAGCTTTAAATATCATCCCAGTACAGAGCAAGTCTGTAATCATTAGTGGCTTTTGACTAAGACCAATTATGTCATCTAAAGATTATAAAACTTTCATTTGCTGCTTAGGTTAACTTCTTCTGTAGCAGAGCACAAACGTGCCGTGAGACCTATGCGCAGAGCTCAGGCTTCAAGGAACCCCCTGAAATTGCTGGCTGCACGAGAGGACATTCTTCATGAATACACCGAACAAAGATTAAATATTGCCTTCATGGAGTCAAAGCGAATGAAAGTAGAAAAAAGTAAGTCAGTTTCATGGCTCTTATGTGCCAGTATCTTTCTAGTAGTGAAGGGCTAAAAAAAAATACGCATAACACTCTCTGAGAGGTTTTCAGTTAGAAGGCTGAACATCGGTAAAATATTGAACCCAAGTGGAACAAGAAAGAAGTGGGGGAACCTTGAGGGAAGGTTACCTACTTCAGTACTCTGATACCAACTTTTCCAGTCTATTCAACCAGTGAAGAGAGAACAACACTGAGTTTTTGAGAGATTGGGTCGAGTTGGGAGGAGAGTGGCTGAACATGCCACTAGCATCTAGGGAGCAGATAAAATGCATGTTTAGTATGATGACAAATTATTCTTCTGTTGGGAAAAGAGAGCAACTCTAGTTTGTCAGAAATAGACCAACTTTTATTCTTGTAAATTTCCCTCAATCTCATGGCCATAATTATCCGTCAAGAATTCAAAAGCAACCTCGTAACTCCAAACCATTAGCTTCCTTACAGAGTAACTGTATTCTGGCAGGAACTTGCAGTGAAGTGCATTAGTGACATTGTGTTCTCATGATAACCACAGTATTAACAAGTCACAGTAGTGTAATGTTTCTTCAAAGTTTATTTGGCAAACTATCATTACAGTGCATTGGTTAAGAGTTTCCCTTTTGTCACTGCAGTGAAGAGAACTAATCTTTATGTTGCCTGTATTGCTGAAAACAAATTCTGTGTAGTATTGTACTTTGCAGTGTTATACTAAACAATCTGTTCCACCTTATATTTAGCTGTGACACTCTGAGTACCTTTCCCAGACCTGAAGAAGAGCTCTGTGTACCCAGATGCTTGTCTCTTTCACCAACAGAAGTTGGTCCAATGAAAGATCTTAGCTCACCCACCATGTCTCTTTAGTATTGTGATGTAATGTAAAGAGAAGCATTAATCTGAATTATAAACTTCTGAAATCATTTGTTTTGGTTGAGAAATAGGTGTTAATTGTGAAGAATTGAGATTCTTTTAGAACTTTATAATAAGCTGACTCTGAAACTTTGGAGTGTGTAAATGCCTGTTGTATCACAATGGCTGAGATAAATTTGAGGGGAATTGCAACTAATTAGTCTTGGCTTCTCTCTCAGCATCGTTAATCATTTATATTTGCATCACAAATGTACACTGCACTTCCCAAAATATTGAGTAAGATATTTCTTAAGTTGGAATTTCTGAAAATAAAATATGTTTGGTAAACTGATCGTTGACAGTTTTTACTATGGGATGATATCTAGAAACTTGCCTAATGATTAAGACGAGCAGAGTCTTTGGACTAGCTGTTAACTTTAAATTCAACCTGTTTTTTGTTGTCTTTTTCAGTGGCAACAACAAAAAAAGCTGAAAATGAGCCATGCAAGAAAAAAATCTAATAAAATATAGAAACGAAACATAATGTGTTTTTTTTGTTTTTGTTTTTTGCTTTTTGTGTCTCCTGTTTGGTTTTTTGTTTTGTTTTGTGTGTGTAAGTGTCTACAAACTCAAATTTCTCAGAAGTAGCACTTGCTGGTTTAGCAAGCAAAGAAAACTTCAGCAGCGTCAGTTTACGAAGTGTCAATCTAACTGAACAAAACTCCAACAACAGTGCTGTGCCATACAAGAAACTGATGCTGTTGCAAATTAAAGGTATGCAAGAAGGTTTTATATTATCAATATGTATTCATTATGGTAACGTCCAAAGGCTCCTCTAGAAATTGGAGCCCCACTATATTGCCAAAGAACCCCCTGCCCTGGAAAGTTTACAACCTAAAAGATTCAAGAACAAGTGAAGGTTATGAGTCATGGATATAACATGCCACGTAAATGAACATGGTGGTGACTGGCACGGCTTTGGTAAGGAAAGAGGAGAGGATAAACTTCAGGATTTCTGTTTTTCTGTCCTGTGGGGTTTTATTTAAATTTTTGCTTTATCTCCCTAATATTCGCCTCTATTCTGGTACCCATTACTACCCACTTTCCACTTGCAGTACCATAATGCCATTTCAATTATTCTTGCAACACATTGTTACTGAGCCTAATCTCTGCTAAATACTACTTGTCTGGCAAGTCAGAATCTTTAAATCACTGATTATATGATTGTCTAGTAAGGCAATAAAGTAGTTTCACAAATGGAAAAGGCTATGGATTTTGGCTGCTTTTTATGCCATTTATTATTATTCTTTTTTTCTCCAGTGGGGTTTAAAATTGTCAAGGCAGGAACAAGTGGCAATATAGAAATATCAGTTAATAGAAGAAAACAAATTGTTTTCCCCACGTATGAACCCTGTGTTGTTCTTTATTCATTCTTCTAATGAAAGACTTTGGGGAATGGATTATTAGTGCAATGGGATCAAGTTTGTCTTTCATTCAAAATAATTAGGTCTTCAAAGATTGATGGCAGTATTTTTAGGAATATAATTATCCTGGTTTTATATTTTAGGAAGAAGACATGTTCAAACAAGATTAGTTGAACCAAGGGCTTCATCACTGAACAGTGGTGACTGCTTCCTGTTGTTAACTCCACATTACTGTTTCCTTTGGGTAGGAGAGTTTGCAAACGTCATAGAAAAAGCTAAGGTTAGTCCACTAAAATGAGATCTCACTGGCCATTTCTTCCTTTCACATAATCACTCTTGATGCCAATTATCTAAATAGTCCAGTGCTGGAATATGTGCACAGTAGCATATCATTGATAATCAGTGGGAGGCAGATATGTCTTATTCCCCTAACCTCTGCATTTATTGGAAGCTGACGTGGGACATGCAAGTTGCAAAACCACAATAGAAAATAGGAAATCCTCAGGAAAGGGATTTGTATTCAAACAGAAAAATAGTTTGAATTGCAGGATGTCCTTTCTGTTTCTGCATTCATTAGGATCAGTTCTCATTTGAATTACAAATAAAAGCACTGGTGTAGTTGTCATTTTTCTCTCACTTCTTGGTGTTTAATAAAAGAGAAGTAATGACCATTACCACTGTTACCAACCGTGCTGTCCCCTTTCTCACTCCTGCACTTTCCCTCGACTGAACGTGCACAAATGACTTAACCGATCCTATTCAGATAATTATGTTAATCTCTTAGGCATCAGAACTTGCAACTTTAATTCAGACAAAGAGGGAACTCGGCTGTAGAGCTTCTTATGTACAGACCATAGAAGAAGGGATAAATACCCATACTCATGCTGCCAAAGACTTCTGGAAACTCCTCGGTGGCCAGACAAGTTACCAGTGTAAGAGATTTTATATTTTCACTATTTCAGCCCCTGATGTTTTATCATCGTAAAATAGCTGAATTGACTGTTCCAATGTAGAGAAATTTAATATTAGAACACTGAGTATTTATGATTTTTTTTTTCTCTTCAAGCTGCTGGAAACCCCGAGGAAGATGAAATGTACGAAGCTGCAATAATAGAAACAAATTGCATCTATCGTTTAGTAGATGATAAACTTATTCCTGATGATGACTACTGGGGGAAAATGCCAAGATGTACTCTGCTACAATCCAAAGAGGTACAGTAAGTTACATTTAGGAGTTTGAATTTGGAACACTTAACACTTCCTCTGGAAGATACTGATGGTCTGATTTTCAGTAAGTTTGTAGGCACACAATTGCAAATACACATCTGCACACTTACTGAAAATCAGGTCCTTTGTACTTCTGATACTTTAAACCCTTCGCTGCCAGAGACTGACCATCTGCAGAGCCCTTGGTGCCAAGAAAGTAAAGAAAAATTAGAATGTATTATCTCAACACTGACAACTTTTTTAAAGACTTCCAACCCTTTTTGTCCATGGTGGGTTCTTTTGCTTCCAGTCCATCCAAATCTAAACCAGATGGTCCTAACTTTTTTTTTTTTTCATCTCCCCTTCCCAAAACTCTTTTCCACCCTCAGTAAATTCTCACTGCAGCCACATCATCAACCAGGAGGAATTGAAAGTAGGTTTTTAGAACAAGTCAATATTGCTTTGTGATCAGTAAGAGCTTTCAGTTTTCCCATGAACTCCCTCCCTCATAAGCAAATTCCTCTGTAGCATTCCTAGTACAGTAACTCCTCACTTAACATTGTAGTTATGTTCCTGAAAAATGCAACTTTAAGTGAAACAATGTTAAACAAATCCAATTTTCCCATCAGATTTAATGTAAATGCAGGGGGTTAGGTTCCAAGAAAAAAATTTGGGGCAGACAAAAGGCATTATATATTGTACAGTACTGTACTGTACCGTGGTTGGGAAGTGCCCCAGGTTTACCCCACACAGGCACAGCCCGCTGCAGGCAAGGATGCTAGGAAGCACCTTTGCAGCAGCAGCGGCAGCTTCCCCGGAGAAGAACAGGCGCTGACTTTGCTGGGGGATGCTCCAGGCCTTCCTCTTCCTGTCCCCACTCCACTCCAGGCCCACCTCTTCCCACCCCCACTCCAGCTCCTCTCCAGAGCACAACGCGTCCCTGCTCCTCTCTTCCCCCTCCCCCCCCAAGTCCTAAGCGCTGCCAAACAGCTGTTTGGCAGTGGGGGGGGCGCGTGGGGGGGGGGGGGGGAATGGAAGGCGGAGAAGAGGAACTTGTGCAATGCTCCCTTGTAAAGTCACTGCTCTTCCACAGAATCTTGCAAGCAGTGGACAGAGCAGGCAGCCAAATTACGTTATAAGGGAGCATTGCACAAATTTAAACGAGGATGTTCCCTAATTGAGCAGCGACGTAACTTTGAAACAACGTTAAGCGGGAGGACGTTAAGTCAGGAGTTACTGTACTGGCTTACCAAATATGCAAGTAATCAGGCCCATAAGTCAAACCCAAATGGTATGCTGTGGCTGCTATTTCATTGTCGCCTCCTTTTGTCACATAGGACATTTGTAAGTATTTGTTTCGCTACATTAATTATATTACAACCTGGCCAAAGTTATACTAAAGAGTTTTTGGTATAATTGAGCATATTTTCCCTGCAGTTTAAATTACTACTGTAATTATTTCTAGGTTCTGGTTTTTGATTTCGGCAGCGAAGTATATGTATGGCATGGGAAAGAAGTCACATTAGCACAGAGAAAAGTAGCATTCCAGCTGGCCAAACATTTGTGGAATGGAACATTTGACTACGCCAATTGTGACATAAATCCTCTAGACCCTGGAGAGTGCAATCCCCTTATACCAAGGTACCAAACTTACAGCTGTTATAGTACTTTTGCTCTCTTATTGATACACTGGGGACATACATTATTGGGAGTTAATGCAACTGAATTCCCTTAGACTGGGTCAGTGTGTAAATGCCAGCTGCCATTTTTCTTTGTGGAAACAATGGCTTTTAGTTGCCATGAGCCAGCATGATATAACATGTAAAGTTGTGCCAGCTGGGGAGCTGTGTATTGGCAAATAAACATTTGGGGAGACGAAATCTTTCAGGCTGCCTTTGTACATCATAAAGAAGAAGGTACACAGCCGTTTGCTTTCCTTTGCTAGTCACCTTTAAAATCCGACATCAAGTCACTGGCAAATATTTGATATCTGAATAGTTTCAAACTTTATAATTTGCAAACTAGAGTAAAGACTTAAAAACCTGTATTGAACATGAGTTTTCTCAGGGATGTTTAAACCATTTGATTTCTTGCATATATGTTACAGTGTGTAATTTAATCCAGTTTTTTGTTTTTTCTAATACAGAAAAGGACAAGGGCGTCCTGACTGGGCTATCTTTGGCAGACTCACAGAACATAATGAGACCATATTGTTCAAAGAAAAATTTCTTGATTGGACAGAACTGAAGAAACACAATGAGAAGAACTCTAGTGAATCTCTTCACCAGAAGGTAGAGCAAATAAACTTACTGAGTATTTTCAATACTTGATTTGTGTGTCTGTAATGGGAAGACAATTTTGAATTCAAAACATATAAATGACTGATATTCATCAGCAGAGACGTAAGTTTTGTATTCAGTGGTCTAAACTGCTTCCTTGATCAGTCTGTATTTAGAATGTCAACCAGAACAATATCATTGATTGTAAACCCACATACATGCTCTTAATCAACTAGTGTTTGGGGGGTTGATCAATGCTTCAAAACTGGCTTTAGTACAAAAGGAAAACAGTAAAACTGTGTCACAAAGTATCGCATACATTTGCTCCTTGTATATTTATAATTAAATCATTGGGTAAGAAGAAAAAAATCTAAACGTAGACCAAAAAACCCCCAACCTGTTACATGTCTTATCACAGGAAGACTCCAGGTCTGACTTTAAAGCATATGATGTCATGCTAATGGTACCAGTGCCCCAAACTACGGTTGGCACAGTCTTGGATGGAATAAATATTGGCCGTGGCTATGGATTTATTGAAGGAGAAGATGGGAGGCAGTTTGAAATTATCACTGCCTCCGTGGATGTCTGGCACATCCTGGAATTTGATTACAGTAGGCTGCCTAAACAAAGCATTGGACAGTTCCATGAGGGAGACACGTATGTGGTTAAATGGAAGTACATGGTGAGCACTGCAGGTTAGTGAACATCTGAATTTCTTCATGCTAGATACTGATGTCTGTGGCTAAAACAGCTAATGTTATAGCAAAATCCAGAGCTAAATTTCCTTGCATGTGATGCACCCCACTAGGCAAACAAGACAGGAATTCACTTACAGCATGTGGCCATTAAATGAACTTTGCAAGCAAGATATGAAGTAGAATTCCTGGTAAAACCATTCCTGTTTTTCCTCTTCCTCACACCAAAATGTAATCTGTGCCATCACACAGCAGTTTGCCATGTATTAGCTTACTTGCATCCAAATTGCAGTCGCATAGTTTTGGTTTGCAAAATGGCTTGAGTGATGATATCAAGAGTAACTGTAATCTTCTTTAACGTAGAACTGAATCAGGTAGGGAGCTGGACTAGTGGCAGTGCTCTGAACTGACTTGCAAGAGATGTAGGTTTAGTTCCAGGTGAAGCCTTTGCCAGGTAGTGGAGAGAGGAACCAAGGGGGAAGCAAAAGTCTGTGAAGTCAAAGTGCCAGGAGGGAAGGAATCTCTCTTTGTGCTGGCTCTCCAAACACTCATCAATGCATTTCAGCCTTGATTTGAAAATTCTTAACTGTGCTCCAATTAAAAGACTGATTGATTAGGCAGATCTCTAGCAAACAACCAACTCGGGGTGATCTTTGTTGAGGTAGGGGACTGGTAGGGCTGTGCCTCACTCCATGCTTTCAAAATGGGGAATGAACTCCAGAACAGGAGATGGCCCATTGGTAAGTAAAGTACGAACAGCCCCACAAATGAAAAGTGTGTTCCAAGGGGGCAAGCCCTAATCAGCCACAGCACAAATATGGCTTCACTCTTAAAAGTAGTGAGAAAATGCAGATTAATGTGTGATTGTGGAGTCAAGATACTAGAGAATCCAATTAGAGGACAAAAGGGTGTGAAATTTGAATCTGAGAGTAGCTGTAGATGAAGTAAACCCAGACACGTATGCTTTGTTGCAGAAACTTTTGAATAGAAAACTATCTGACTTAAACATGAAACCATGAACTGATTCCATATGTAAACAAAACAAGAGAAAACCAACTTCTCGCTCCTTGAAGAATTTGGGGTTGTTGTTTTTTTCCTTACACTTTGCAAATAGTTTGAAAGTACAAATCTGCTCGGTTGGGCTGGTTTTGTCAAAGGAGGCACCGCCTTTCACTGTTTTGAAGGGTTTAGGAGGAGACTGAGGCCAAGATTTTCAAGTAACTAGTGAGTTTGGGTGCCCAATTTGAGATGACTTTAGAGGGCCTGGATTTTCAGAGTGATTGTTCAGCACTTCTGAATGTCTGGTAGGTGTCAAAATAGATTTAGGAGACTAACTTTAAACAGTTTTTGAAAATCTTGTCCTAATTGTGTCACAGGTTATTCAGAATGTTCAGTAACTAAAGTAAAGCTTTCCATCAAGGGTTTTAATGTAGAACTTGTCTGTCTTCACACATGCTTTTGATTACTAATTGTAAGATTCAGATAATGAATAAAGGTCTTTTTAAAAAAAAAATATTCTTGGCTCCGAGTCCTCTGCTCAGACTAACATGGAGCATTTAGTTAATTGGAAAATGAAACTTTTACAAGTAATCACGAGACTCTTTTCATGGAAGTAAGTTATTAACTTAGTGTTCTCTGATTGTCATAACTTGGAATCCCCTGGCAGTTTCCTTTTTTAATATAATTATACCAAGAATTTTCGTGTTCTGCCTGTAGCTGTCTCAACTGCTGCTGTTTCCAATATCGTTCAGCAGCCAGCTAATCGCTTGCTGCCAAAGAACAGTGTATTATGGAAAATGAGACACTGTGCTTTTTTTGTTGTTTGGTAACATGACTGGCTACACCATTCCACGTTGTCTGATTCTCTCAAGTGATGTTAATTATTTTACATGATCCTTCTGGTTTGGAGGCCTTTGGCCAGTCAGTGGAGTTTGTGCGTGCGGCTTTACATCCACCAGATGATGTCCCTGTGAAGGATTGGCACATGCATCTTGCACTGCTTGACTTAATGTTTCTCAGATTGTGCGGGTAGTCAGTGCTGCACTGGATTTCACATCACTGAGCTGGCTGGCTGTGCACTCCACAACGCTAGCAATAGCTGTTTTCCTTCAACGTGAGCCATTTGTTTTGCAGTTGGAAGCAGACAAAAGGGAGAGCAGCAAGTAAGGGCTGTTGGAAAAGAGAAGTGTGTGTACTTCTTTTGGCAAGGGAGGCACTCCACAGTGAGCGAGAAGGGCACATCAGCACTGATGACTGTGGAGCTTGATGAAGAGAGAGGAGCACAGGTGAGCTGCCGACGTACCCACTACGTAGAAACTGCTATGGGAAAACTGTAGTAAAAAATTCTAGTACTGTCCAAATGCCCACATTTGGTGAGTAAATGTGGTGGTGGGATTTGGGGTCCTCTTTTTTTTTTTTTTTTTTTCCCCCTCCCTTCTAATGCAGAAGCCGTACTTATTGCCATTACATATACATATACAGCCCCCCAAAGTCCCCTTTGGACTTGCAGAACAACATTCCAGCATTGTAAAAAATTTGCTTCTTTGTGGATTATGTAATTCCAAGATCTGCCTTCTGCGAAGTCTGAGGAAGAACGTTCCTTCTCTCCTTCCCCCTGCTGTAGGAAAAGGCATGACTTGTAGATACATCCCCTGCCTTCAGGTTCAGAATCCAATTAAGGAATTCATGTTCTGTCACATTACAAGTATCCGAAGAGCTGCAGCCATTCTGCTAAGCCCCATAAGAAGAATTTTCTGCCAGGCCAAGACATAAAATTGAATTGTATTTGCAAAGTATTGTAATGACACAGCTTGGGGAGCAGGCATGGGGGTGAAGGGAGCAAAGGACATGATCTCATTTGACACCTCCCATACCAAATTCTGTGCAAGTGATTATAAACCAGTCTGTCCTATCCGTTTAATAAGCAGCAATGTCAGTTCAATAATAACAAAACTTTTTAAGGCTTCATAGAAGCCAGCATTTTAAGCAATATTAAAGCATATTTGTACAAACGCTTCCTGACTTACGCAAGCATTCTGTTCTGGAATGCCTTGCGTAACTCGAATTTTGCGTAAGTCAGAAACGTATACTCGACCATTACGCAACCCCACCCCCCCAAAAACCTCCTATTACTAGCTTACAGAACTTTTTCCTAAGTGCAGATTTGCGTAAGTCGGGTTTGCGTAACCCGGGGGGCATCTGTATATGATTTTTACAATCTTCATAAGGCTGCCGTATAACTATTGTCTCAAAATGTCTCAGTTCTTTCAGAAGATGACTCCTGCCATTAATGGACTCCAATGCTGTTTGAAAATAAACCAATTTAAATTACATATAGTCAGTGCTAATTATCCTCTGAAATTTAAGATTGCTGAACACTGAAACATGGGTACAGGTTCCTCTTAGTTATGCAGTTCCTAACCAGAACAACATGTACGAGTCCCACTGAATGTTGATGTATTTGGCAGCTCAAACAATAGTCAGTGTTTTAACATATTAGAAAAACCACCCTTGTGGGTGGCCAGGACTATACTATTTTTAATACTCTGCCAAGAGGCAGTTTTTCCTCAATCTTTAAATTCATTTGCTGTGGTTTCGGTATTGTGGTGCTCTCCATTTCTAGGTACAAGTGCTTCAAGGAAAAGAACCACCATGCTTTCTGCAGTGCTTCCAGGGAGGGATGGTTGTGCATGCTGGAAGAAGGGAAGAGGAAGAAGAAAATACACAAAGTAAATCATTTATTAGATACGTTTTTTCTGCTTCATGGCCCTCCTTTTCTGGAAAAAATGGATTTTAGATGAAGGCTAAACTAGCACTCATTCTATAACAACGGGAATAGTGGAGCTTCTTCTGTAGATGATCTTTGTCACGGGGCTTATACTCATGCTTTCACTTTAGTTCACTCCTCACTTAAACTTAAAATGTGTTTTGTCAACCCAGGAGCAAATTCATTTTGCTGTACATACATTTAAATTGTCCCCTCTGCTTTAAGATGCTTCTCTGTTTTACATGGCAAAAAATGATTATTTGATTATGACCTTGCAGTTTTGCATGTTGTCATTTTGGACTTCTATTACTCAAACAAAACAAAGCTGCTGTGACCTTTTTACCACGCACTGCAATTCCTACTGTGTATTCTGTGAACACTAGGCAAATTCTTTTCAATCCAGTGGCAGCTTGGAAAGGCTGCAATTGTATTGTGATAAACTTGAACTTGACTTGATATGCCTAAATATTGCAGTTCACCAAGTGGAGATGACATTAAAAGATAAGGTACCATTATTATATTGGTCCCTTGTTCACCCTAAATAGAAAAGGGGGAGGGTTACGGAGCAGTGACAAAACTGACTGACTGTGAATTTCCTTTTATCACTTTGTGACAGTTTAAGCTTGTGTAATGCAATGCAGTGCTTGCCATTTATCCTTAAAAGATCTTGAATTAGAAGTAACTTTGCCAGAATGTAATAAAGTTTTCGTCCTGTTTGTGCCCATTCCAGGTGACTGGAGGCTGTACTGTGTACGAGGAGAAGTTTCCATTGAAGGAAATTTACTTGAAGTAGCATGTCACTGCAGCAGCCTAAGGTCCAGGACGTCTATGATTGTCCTCAATGTAAATAAAGCCCTTATCTATCTGTGGCATGGCTGCAAAGCACAGTCTCACACAAAGGATGTAGGAAGAACAGCAGCCAATAAAATAAAAGAACAGTAAGTAGCGACTTACAGACATTTGTATTCTGTAGCTGGATTATTAAATGTAGCCGTCTGCCAGAACAAAAACAGCAACCCTCCAGTAGCACTGATGGGGAGTGGGTTAAGAGGTTGCAGCAAGGCTGCGTGTTGGGACAGGAGGAATGGACAGGGCACCGAGTTCATTATGTGCATATTCTGATTTTCACACAATCCCAATAGGGTGAGAGATACTTACTGTTCTTGCAGTACTGAATTGCCATTCCTGTTAAAGAATGGGAGACCGAAAAGCATCTAAAAGTAAAGATTCAACTATGACCTAACAGAGGTGATAGGATAAGCAAAAGCCTTATGAGAGAGAGGGTATGATGAGGCTAGGGAAGGAAGCTTGCAAGAGGCACTGATGGGGGATGGAAAGGAGAAACTGAAGAACTGATAAAGAGCTCACATGAGCATTCTCTCACGCTCTGCATAGAATGTCAGGGTTGGAAGGGACCTCAGGAGGTCATCTAGTCCAACCCCCTGCTCAAAGCAGGACCAATCCCCAAGCAGATTTTTGCCCCAAATCCCTAAATGGCCCCCTCAAGGATTGAACTCACAACCCTGGGTTGAGCAGGCCAATGCTCAAACCACTGAGCTATCCCATATATGAGCTATCATATATGATCAGTCGTACAAATAAATACCATTACTGAAATGTCAGACCTTACATTGTTTCCTGTATTGATTTTCATATGGATTAGGCTGGCAAAAAGGAAGTGCCAGTGTCCAGAGAGTCAGTCTTTCGACTGGCTTGGGTTGCTGACAAGTGCATGAAGCTGTATGTTGTTGGAAGTAAGGGTATTGGGTTCACATCACTTCTTTGTATTGCAGATGTCCATTGGAAGCTGGATTGCACAGCAGCAGCAAGGTGACAATACATGAATGTGATGAAGGGTCAGAGCCATTGGGATTCTGGGATGCATTAGGAAGGAGAGATCGAAAAGCCTATGATTGCATGTTGCAAGGTAGTATTGCAGTCCAGTGATCTTCACCTACATGCTACTGTGTTGTAGGACTATAAAATACATTGTTTTTTTAGTTGAACACATTTCTGTTGTTGATGTGAAACTTTAGCAATAGTCAGGGCCCTGGTGAAGTCAAGAAATCACTGGAGAATAAAATATGCTTCCTGCCACACACAAGTGAATCTATTGGTGTCTGGGGATGCAAGGCGCCGGAGAGTGAAGTGTCCTCCCCCCACACACACGTAGAACAGAGCAGCAGTTAACTCTTAGCCCACCAGATATGTTGCAGTTCTCCTCTGGAGGGATTGGATGATGGTTTTGTGTTTAATCATTGACCCCTCTTCTGGAACTGCCAACAAAGATGATAGTTGTGGGACAGATTTACAATATGAAAATCTGTCAGTTAAGTAGTAGATATGTGAAGTAAGCCTGTCTCACAAAGCCACAGAACAGTCAGCCACCAAGGGTATGTCTAAACTGCAATTAAAAACCCATGGCTGGCTCGTGCTAGCTGACTTGGGCTTGCAGGGCTGTTTAATTGCAGTGTAGACTTTCGGGCTCTAGGACCCTGTAAGATGGGAGGGCCCCAGGGCTCAGACTGCAGCCTGAGCCTGAACGTCTACACCCCAGTTAAGTAGGCCCTTCACCCGAACCCCATGAGTACCACTCAGCTGGTGGGAGTCTAATTGTAGTGTGGACATACCTCAAATGGCTGGTCACTGCTAGCCAGGGTTGGATTCAAAATGGTGGCTAAAGCTAAAATGCTTTCTATCCCAGCCATTGCCATTCTCCTTTCCTGATTATTCAAAAGCCAAAGTGTAATGTAGCAAGCGTAAATGCAGCTTTTCAAATTAACTTTGTCCGGCTGTACTAGACATTTTTGTCTTTTGTTCTATTAGATCCTGGAAAGTTTAACTTCACCCCCCGCCTGTTCATCCTCAGCAGTTCATCGGGAGACTTCTCAGCCACTGAATATATATATCCTGCAAGAGATCCCACTGTTGTCAGTTCCATGCCATTCCTGCAGGAGGATCTCTACACTGCCCCACAGCCAGGTACAGAAGCAGACTATTGATGTAAATACTGCACTGATCCCAGCTAGGATATCCAGGAATAAATGTCCCGAATACAGAGACCCCTAGTATAAAGTTATTCTAACATGTAAGTAGAGAAACGTACTGACAGGAGTTATTGAACAATGGTGACCTATAAAAGTATTCATGCAACAAGCAAGTAGGGAGGGAAAAGGCATAGTCCCACACTGCTTTGCACTGGGATGCAGTAAGCAGAACTCCTGGGGGAATTCTGCACCTAAAAATTTTGCGCACAATATGTTAAAATTCTTCATATTTTGTCAAAATAACATTGTATGATTACACCAGTTTCAGTTATTTTGGTGATTTATTTCAAAGTACCTCTGAGCACTAGATTCCCCCAGGAGTAGAAAGTTAAAGAAATCCCTACGACAACCCAGTTCCTGTTTCTCTGCATCCTCCCTCACAAAGCCCAGTTGCGGGACCAGACTCCCATGCCCTCTCCCCCCCCAGAGCCCAGCTGTGGGGCCCCCGCAAGCCAGACACCCACATCCCTCCCACCCAGAGTCCAGCCTCAGGGCACCCCCCAGCCCAGACACCCGCACCTCCTCTCCCCAGTGCCCACCTCCAGCTCCCCCTCTGCCCCAGCAGTGTCCTGTATTTGCAAGCTGGGAAGCTGGGCTCTGCCTGGTCCAGCAGTCCCTAATGGCAGCCGGAAATTCTGCACAGAACATTAATTCTGCACAAATTCTGCATTGTGCAGTGGCACAGAATTCCCCCAGGAGTAAAGCATGGGTCTGTTCAGATTTAATTAATAGCAGTAGTGCTTCAGTGTGTGTAAAACCAGGAGGGGTTCAACCTTTAGCAACAAAAGATTGAAATTTCCACTTTGCAGATACTTAAAACCAATTCAACGTATTTGTACCCAAACTATTACTAAAGAAAGCACACTGTTTCCTGTGGGGAACCAGAGCTCAGCCCCTTGCTTCTTGGGTTTACAGAAATCTCTGTGGATGGATAACAAATGACATTGATAAGTCTCATTTGTCCAACCAAAATAGGCTGATTTTAGTCAAGGCTGTGCCGTTTATCTTATGGAGAAACCTAGTAAAACATATACTGACTAAATCTCTGGTATTTTTGGATCTTCTTTGGCTGTATAGCACTCTTCCTCGTTGACAATCACCATGAAGTGTATCTTTGGCAAGGCTGGTGGCCTGTAGAAAACAAAATAACTGGATCAGCTCGAATCCGATGGGCTACAGACAGGAAATGTGCCATGGAGACAGTACTCCAATACTGCAGAGGTAATAAGAAAGCTACTCTGTGCCAGTGTTGATCCTGACTATTTTAAGGTTTCTATAGTAACGCTCACCAGAGTATTTAAGTGCTCCCCAGGTAAAATAAATCAGCAAGGGTCCCTAGTAAACTAGGGTGAGGTCCCTAGTAAACTTCAAGGAATTTGTCTATTCTTTCCCCCAATCCTTCCATCAGGATTAGAGGCCTCTGTTGGGAAGCAATGTTTTATTGTATTTAAATCATCTTGCTTGTAATGTGAGTGTACTTCCTCAAAGAGGGCAGTGGGCAGATGGTGGATTAGTCTGATCTCTGGAAATTCATGCTATTACAGAACCCCCTTTAATGCTGAATGCTGTGGCTCCAGCTCTAATGTGCTTCGTCCTGGGTTTTGTAAAGTGTATTGTCCCAAAGGAATGGTTGGAGATGCAATTGCTGATGTAACTGGGTTCTGATTTGTTGATCGCTTTGAAAATCAGGAACAAGGCTTTGAACTGACAAGCTGGAAGCTGACTGGGAGCTCGTGTAGGGAGCAAAGCGTGGTGTGATGTTCTCACAGTGGCCTGCCTCACAAAGGAGACAAACAGATGTGATCTGCACAAGTTAGAGCCTCTGCACTGCTGCCACATTTAGTCCCACATACAGTGATCCAAGCTTGAACTGATGAATGCGTGGATTGCGGTGGCTGGATTCTGATCTTGGATGAAGGGATGGAGTTTCCTTAGAAGAAGGGGATAAAAAAAGGCTCAAGCTTGGAGATGAGAAGAAAAGGACCTTGAGGCGTCTCACCTCTCTGACAAATAGGGGTTGGATGATGGGATATCGTCATTGGAAGACGAGCACATTGACCCAGCTGTTATTTCAGAGCATTTCCTCCATCTGACCAGCATCACCCCAATTTGGTTTGAGCCAACCCTTCCCAGTTACAACTAAAGAGCTGATCTCTTGTGGCATTGTGACATCCTCGATGGCATTGGTTTCAGCTGTGGTAAATGAACTGTACAACTCACAGCTGAGTCAGTGGCACCTTCCAGCTTCTCCAGTGGTCTCTCTCATATGTGAAAGAGCTGGAGAGGTGGGAGGAATAAATGTTGAACTCCACGTGTGTGGGCCCTTGGGGAAGAAGGTGCCAGTGACTGATCACTGCTCTCTGGGTCCGCGTAGGAGAGGAATGATTGTCATTATGCTACTGTGCCATCTACTCCTGTTGTGTCACCTAAATGGATCAGTAACACCTTGTGGCTGCGTGTGGAAAGTCACCGAAAAGCTGAGCATTGAAACATGACGTGTATCCATTGCTATGCAGAAGTCCTCTTCCTGTGCCACTGGAGCACTCTTTGTGCAGAATTCTGATGTACATCCAGGATGTTGACAGATTTTTTTCACGTGTTGGCCTTGAGTTGTTTCCAATTGGAGTAGGAATTAGAGGTTAAAGATGGAGCAGTAGTTGGAAAGGCCCTTCTGCACCACATGCTGGTTTTTTGAGGACTGGGGCAGGCTATTGCAGTTCTGAGACTCTGAAGGACATGTTGGTGACAATACTACCTAACCCTTACATAGCTTTTTCCATCTGTAGATCTCAGAGCACTTGACTAAGGAGGTCAATATCATTATCCCCATTTTACAGATGAGGCACGGAGGTGCAGTGCCCAGGTCAACCAGCAGGTCAATGGAAGAGCCTTGAATAGAATCCAGGTCTCCTGAGACGCAGTCCAGGGCTCCAGCTGCTAGACAATACAGCCTCATGCTAATGAAAACTTTTTCCCCCCTGGCTTTCATCAAAGAGCAGGGGGCAGGTTGTGACTTGAATGTGCCTCAGGATTTCTTGAATTTCAATGGCTGTAACGGTAGCAGGGTGGCGAATGCTGTCTGCAGTGGTTTGGATTTTCTGCCTTTCTGTCCCCCCGTATTTGAATGCAAAGTAGGATGAGAGCTCCTCGGTGGTCTGCGCTTGGGATTATGTGTCACAAACTGATTAATTGCTTCGCTACGTGCAGTAGCTCTGCTGGCTATGATTTTTCAGCCACGGTGGCTTTGGAGTTGAAAGCTCCCTTTGCTCCCTTTCCAGGTGTGGTATAGTTCTGCAAGAGCTATTTGTGCTGTTGATGTAGCAAGTTTTTCCACCATCAAAGTCCTAATATTTTACCTACGCACTTCCCCTTCCAAAATCAATCTGAATCCCAGGATGATCTCAATCGCTGGGAAGGAGGAGGAGCTAGGTTTGTGGCCACGGTGTCAGTGGGAGCAGGTACCATTTGAATATGATGTTCTACTGGTTTCTTAGCCTCTTGGGCCTGCGGGTTGAGTGATTTTCCTGTCAGATATGCTGAAAACTTTACAGGAATTAATCTTTCATGGGTTAACTAGCGCTGGTCTTTCATTGCCCTAATAAGATGTCACAATTAAATAGCAAGAAATATAAATACTGCAGTTATCCTAAAAGTAAAAGAGAATAGCAAGAAGGATCTAGTTAAGTGGGTAATCAGACGAATTTAAGTGTGTTTTATTACTTTTTTTGGCTTACAGCCAGCATTCAAACTACAAGATTATATGAAGTACTTTGATTTGTATCCTTGGATAACAGCTTGAATATTCCTAGCGGGCACTCGTTGCTTCTTTTGTGCACAAATCTCTTTATCTAACCTGTCAGATTTTCTTGAAACTTTCTGAAGCTTTGTCTCCTAAATCAGCAGACTGCTTTGGAGCACTGAGCTCCCGCATAGGAGAGAGAGAGAGAGTGTGTGTGTTGCAGTTCGGATTCTTGCATAAGAAAGGCAAACCAGCTTGAGTAGAGGGCAGAGTTCACTTCATTAACTGAAATGATGAAAATGTTTCTCCACTCAAAAATTAAATTGTCCTACCAGATGGCTAAGCCGATATTAGAGCATTATCTGGCACAAGCAATCCTTCCTATATTCCACCACTAGTATCACTGATCTGTGTTGCTTACTGTGTAGACTAGGCTGACAAATTTTGCAAATTGCAGAGTTTCAAATCACTGTCGTAGTATTATATGGCAAATTCAAGCGGTTTCCACAATGCGATTGTGGAACTGGAGGATTCAGATGATAAATCCCTTGTCTAAATTGTGTAGCTGAAGGATTCTGATTTGTTGCTAATTTGTTCATTGGGATACTTGAGATTAAAGCTCTGTAGATTAGTCTGTTTCGTGTGACTAAATTCTTTCTAATCTGTTTGCTACCAAATGTTTGACCTCAAACAAAACATGTAGTGCTCACAGTTTGCAGAGTTATTGAGAAAGTGGTTGTGATGGTTCTCTGGGTACCCAGGACTGTGAGTCACCTTGTTACCCTCTGCCTCTAGTGTGAGGAGAGAGTTTTCCTTGTGCATATCTGGGTGTCAGCTTCCTAATACCACCAGCCTGTTACCCACCCAAACACGATCCCCTGAGCTATGCCAGCCCTAGCTTTGCCTTGCAGTGTCACAGTAGGTGCACCCCAGTCTCTGAGTCCTTTTGAAGCGTTCCCCTGTGATATCCAGCGCCTCATGCTGCCTTCTCAGAGAACTGCCACGTTCCCAAACAGAACACACCAACTTGTAAGAGTCAACTCAGGATTAGCATTTTGCTTAATATCACACTTGGATAAATTTATAATGTACACAAGGATAAGTTTATCATCAAAGATTCAAATGATAGTGAGTAGGAATATTGGAAACAAATGGTTACATATGAAATAAAATCATAACACTCTAGCTTAACTAACAAGTTAATCTGTCTAAAGAAGTTTATCTGACCCAAAGTCCTCTGCAGCGTTTTCAACCAAGGCTGCTTGAGAGCCCGTTTTTATGAATGCAAACGCGCTGTCCATTTACTTCTAGGTGCAGGGTGAGGCTGTGTCTTATTTGTCTCCTAGCTATACCCCCAAAGTTCATTTTCTTTACTCTTAGGCCTTGGCTACACTTGCAGCTGTACAGCGCTGTGAGGTAAACCTGTCTTTGTACAGCTGAGTAGGGAAAGCGCTGCAGTCTGTCCACACCGACAGCTGACAGCGCAGTGGCGTGGCCACACTTGCAACATTTGCAGCTGTGTTGGGAGCAGTGCATTATGGGCAGCTATCCCAGCATTCATGTGGCTGCAACGTGCTTTTCAAAACGGGGGGGTGGGGTGGAGTGTGACAGGGAGTGTGGGGGGAGAGAGTGCTTTTTGGAGCGTGTCAGCACGCTATTTTGCAAGTTCCGAACTCCCGGCCCCCTGCCCATTCATTCACTCACTCAAAGCAAACAGTTTGCTTTTTTCTGTGGTACAAGCTTTGAAACCGGCACTTCTGCATTCCTGCAGCTGGTCACAACAATGGAGAGGATTGGCCACTTGACAAGGTGATCAGTACAGCGCTGCAGGTTGATTCCTGGTACACGCTCACAGGGGAGAGTCGTAGCCACTCCGCTGTATCTCTTATGCTTCTCGGGGAGGTAGAGTACCTGCAGCGGTGTACCCAGGGAGATACAGCGCTGTACGTGCCTTGCCAGTGTAGCCAGTCAGTGAGTTACAGCGCTGTGGGCGGCTTTAAAGCGCAGTAACTCACAAGTGTAGCCAAGGCCTTAGCCAGCAGAACTCCCCTCTACTCCTCCCTGTGGATTAGGGTTTTTTTCCTGTGTGCTCCTTCCCTGTTGACTTCACATTCTTAACGTTCGACTTCATGTGTAGATGGGCATCCATTGTGTTAGCTTACAATGCTTGATTTACATCCCAACAGAGAGTGACATTGCTCACCTTCCCTCCTGTCTGGAGGAAAACCTGTTTTGCACCTTGGCTATTGCTTAATGCCTTGATACAGACATGAAAACCACATTTTCAGTATATATACATAACTCCTTACATTGTATCTATACATGGAATCACAACAATAATAATGACCCAGCTGACACTGGCTTTCATTTGACACCTCCCATGACATTCTTTGGTAGACTAGAATGTACACACCAGACTGACGAGATTTTTGCAACCCCTCTGCTCCCCCTTGTCAGTTGGCATTAGGTGGTTCTTGGGTCACAGTGGTGAAGAGAACTCTGGCAGTGTCTGGACTCCTCAGATTTCATTGATCCCTGTCTGTCTGGTTTACGTGTAGCTATAGTGTGAAGCTGGCACTAGTTTCCGTGACTGACTTTCTAGTAAGGTATCCATGCTGACTCTTCTAGATCCACCTGCTGCTTTTATTACCATGAACCGCACACAGTTTTAAGTCCAGACAGTGAGTGCAATAGACAGGATCACTCTTGATCCTGGATTGGTGCTGTTTGTCCTCTGAGATCCTAGACTGCTTGGTAACAGCTCAAGTGTGATCTCTTGCAAGGTTCTGTTCTCATTCCTGTGGTTTATGCCAATGACAAGCTGAGTTGCCGTGTTGTCGTCATCTTTCTCAGTGCCTACCTGAGATAGGGACTTGGGGTAGAGTGAGCTGGATGAGGCTCCAGACAAGATGGTATGAGGCTGTTTTGAGAAATCATGCCTGTCTCCATTTTAAGGATGTTTGTCCACCCTTCTTCAGGAGTATTCACCATCAAGGAGCACTCGTGGGTCCCTCATTGCTATGAATTGAGCTGGCCAAGAGAGTGCCTTTTTTCGTCTGCATTTGGTGTAATAACTGCAGTCATTATCTATGGGCATGTCTTTCTGACCTCCAGATGGGATTATTGCAGTGTTCTGTGTGGTGTGCAGGGCATCCTTTGAAGATCCTTTGTAAGTTCCAACTGCAGCAAATTGCAATGGTCCAGCTGGCCGTAGGGAGCATATCATGAGTGCTGCATAGACTGCACTGATGTCCTGTTCACTTCTAGGTACAATTCCAGGTGTTTGTATTGCTTTCTAAAGGCCTGTATGGTTTAGCTTCTAACCACCATTACCACCTTGCATTCCCCACATACTGCAGTGACATTGTGGGCAGCTGAGAGATTCTCACCGGGGTCTCCAAACTTGAATTTTGCATGCTGCTGACATTTTCAATGCAGGACACTCTGTTCTGGAATTCCCTTCTTTTGGTAACCTCAGAACATTATGCAAAATTCATCTTTCCACTCGGGCTTTTTTGCAGGGTGGTGGATTGTGCGTGGGGAGGGGGGGGAAGGCTTATATTGTGCATGTTATGAGAGGAGTCCATTTTGTTTTGTTCTTTTTCAGTAGTAAGCTACGTATTTGGATTTGTACATATGCCCGGAGATGACATGATAGGCACACTTTTAGAATATTGAACAATACACCTTTTAAAGTTGCTCTGATGTGCAAAAGAAAGTTTGTTGAGCACAGTCTAGATCGGGGGTTCTCACAACACGTTTTTTGGTGGCCTCAGAGTGCGGCCACCAACTCTTGCTGGTGGCCGCTCTGACAATTTTTCCTAAAATACTGAATTAACTAAAGGGGGAAAAAATGCACATATGCATGTCCAAATCATTAGTCACAACAGACTAACTCAACCCCAGCAAGCCTGGGGACAAATTAAGCCCTGAATGGGGAGGTGAGTACAGAGGCAGTGGGGGCCAGGGCAATGGGGGGTGGTGAGCTTGGGGCCAGAGCCCGTCACTGTGTGGCCAGGAAATGGAGCCTGAAGCCCCGGGGCTAGCCACCCCAGGGCTGAAGCCTGACCCCTCCGCCCCCGAGAAGGTGGGGAACTCACCGGCGGCCTTGGAGGAGGCTTTGTGTTTCTTTCTCTCTACCCCCCGCCCCGCCCCCATCACAGCCCAGGAGGCGGTGGCAGCAAGAAAAGCCCCATGGTGGCCGCATTTGAGAAACGCTGGTCTAGATCAGTGGTTCTCAAACTTTTTTTTTCGCAGACCACTTGAAAATTGCTGAGGGTCTCGGCGGACCACTTAATGATCTTTCCAAATGTTATTTGTACCGTTAGCTAACTATTGCAAAGCGCTTTGGATAAAAGTGTTATATAAAAAAAACTTTATAATAATTAATGTTTTTTGTTCTACAAATAAAAGCTCACAACTCATAATTTAATATCAGTAGTCTTACCTTTCTAATGCGATGGATGTACCATCTCTCCCCTGCCGCGGCAGCCCCCAAGCTGGGGCTGGGAAGGAGCGGGGGTTTCTCCCCGGCAGCCGCAGCCCTGGAGCTGGGGAAAGTTGCCTCTTTCTCTGGCCGCTGCAGCCCTGCACGTCCCAAATTCCAAACTAATTAGGTGCCTGGACCCTGGAGAAGAGACACATGTAAGGTAAGGTGGTGGTCTTGGGGAGCCATGCCTGCGTGGCTCCACTAATTAGGTGTGTGGCCCTTTATTTTCTTGTGTGAAGCCGCCCAAGTGTGCACCTTAGAGGGAACTCTCTGCGGCCCACCTGAATGGAGCTTGTGGGCCACTGGTGGTCCACGGATCGCAGTTTGAGAACCTCTGGTCTAGATGAAAGGCCCTGCTAAAATTTTACCTGGCAATATAGAGTGACCGAGAGCCTGCAAGATAATTCATGTTTTACAACACCTCTCGTTTTGTATTTTGGATGTTATAGGAAAAAACGTAAAGAAACCTCCGAAATCCTACCTAATTCATGCTGGTCTTGAACCCCTGACGTTCACCAATATGTTCCCTAGCTGGGAACACAGAGAAGACATAGCCGAGATCACAGAAATGGTAAACAAGCCTTCTATTGCAATTGTTTCCTGTTGCTGCGCTTGTATTTTTCTGTTTGCTATTGTTAGTAACAGCCAGCATGTTTTATGCTGGGAAGTCCCAAACTCCAGAGGATTAACCTAAATAATGCACTTCAGGAATCTGGAAGAAATAAGTATCATTACATGGCTGAATTTTGACAAGTGCATTATAGATATTTTCAATGAGTTATAGAGTTTCATACATTCTAGTAAATGTTTCATTCTTTGAAGACTTAAGAAGTGGAACTAAAAGATTCTTAACTTGACTCTTAACATTGAATCCTACCTAAAAACTAGTAAGATAAAATAGGGGTGCCACCTCTGAGCTGCACAAAACCTTGATTAAGCTCTGCCTCTGTCTCCCAACAAGGTAGGCTCCTGTTTTCTTTGAAACTATGGACTGGAATATTGTCTGTTTCCATACAAAATATCGCACACTCTTTGGTGGGGATGACCCACCTGGAAAAGTCTCAGTGTAACTGAACAAAACAGGCAGCAGTATGTGGGTTTTTTATGTAATTCAAATCAGAATCTCCATACTAGCATGTCAAAGTGCCATTCTACAGGGATTTCTTTGGGCCTCTGCATCAGTTTCCCCTTCAGGGAAATGAAGTTAATTCCAGACCATGTGACTACTTTAAGATCCTCAGATGCAGGGTGTTTTTAAGTGTAAAATATTACCAAGAAGAGACACTGGCTATCTCCAGGAGTTTTCTGAAAGTCTTCCTCCTTAGTCAAAATGTGGTGGCAGGAGTAAAAAAAAAAAATGGGTGGTGAAATGGGGTTTCTTAGGGAAGAGGAGGAGTGCCCTTGTGTTCTTAAATACAAATATTTTATAGTAGCAGATTGTTCCAGCCAAAGAACTGGGTTAGCACCAAATGTGCATAGTCTACTTCTAAAATACAGGGGCCGGCTAACCATCCCCAGCTAGGGCAGAATTGGTACCAGCTCTGTAGTAGGCTGTATTTAAAATCAGCAATTGCTGATTTCAGTAGCATGTTTCTAAACTCTTTCCTTTCATTCCTTTCTCTCCTCCAGGATGCTGAAGTTTCTAATCAGATAATCCTTGTAGAGGACGTGTTAGCCAAGCTGTGCAAAACTGTGTATCCACTAGCAGATCTTTTAGCTAGGCCTTTACCTGAGGGAGCTGATCCACTGAAACTTGAAATTTATCTTTCAGATGAAGACTTTGAGGTAAGGGGGGAGGGGAGATAAATTGTTGTGTACATGCATGTGTTGAATCATTCCAAACCTCTCTTGTGACAGCTTCACTACTCGATTGGTGAGCACTTTGAGTTTAGTAAATGACTTTCCTAACAGTGATGTGTCTTTTTGTCTTAAATTCAGGCCGCCTTAGAGATGACAAGAGACGAGTACAATGCACTGCCCTCTTGGAAGCAGGTTAATGTGAAAAAGGCAAAAGGACTTTTCTAAGTAATGTTATCGCGTAGTGATAGTACCAGAGGGATCTGTATCGTCACTTTCAACACCTTGGAATTAGCAAAATGAATTGCTCTGGATTAGTGTTCAAAAAAGAAATTAGAGATGATCTTAAATTTTTAGATACTGCCTGATCTTGAGTTGTGTAATATTGTAAATGTGCAAGAGAACTCTTTGGAAGCTTTGTTCAACTCCAAGGGTAATGTGTTTAAACTTTGCTCTCCTGTGCACTTAAACAGTAGTTTCTCAAGCTACTACTGCAACAATCCTTTGGCTATATATAGGACTTGCCATGTGTTTTTTGAAGATGTTCTCTTTGTAAAGTGTTATTTTGTTAGTTTGTGGATTACAAAGAATTTATATTTATATAAACACATAGAACAAGTATGTATTTAACAATGCAATATGTATTCACTTTCAAGACTTTCATGTAAAAAAAAAAAATTCTCTATACAGAAAGGTAGTCGGATGGCAGTTGCTTATACTGAATTAGCTATACCACCCATATATATCTTATGCATTCTGAAAAGTTTCTCTTTGCAATAGGTAATGAATTGTTCTCAATGCTGCTTCAGGTGCTAAACTGAACAAAGCATTTGTATTTATGGCATGGGTTTCTTTAGAAACTATGCAAATCAACCTTTATATTTCAATATCCAAAAATGTATAGTGCCTTGTTTTTGTGTACAGTTTATATACAAAAAAGATTGGTCTGCATTTTGAAGATGGTTTAGAACGGTCTCCTATATTACTTTTATAATAGTAGAAATAAAAACATCTCAGTTTCTAATACATGTTGTAAAGATTAAACGTCTTTCATTATATAAGAGCTTAAAGTAAAAGCTTCAGAATAAACTCAGTGATGCTCTGGCTAGTCATTCTTTACACATATACCCTATGCTATCATAGAAAAATGTTCCATAATACTGTATTTACATTTGAACTATTTGTAACCTGAGGCATTTAGAGGATTTTACAGTGTTATGATTTAAGAGTGGCAGATAATAGAGAAATTTATGATTATACAAAGATAAAACTAGACTGTACAACAGTCTTAACTAGTGCTACCTCTTGAAACAATTATAGAACTATTGAATTATTTTCAATTGCCCCCTTTTTATACTTGATGTAAAATGTTTGGCCAATTGAAAACCTACCAAGAATATGAATGATGGTGAGTAAAGCTCAAAATTAACATGGTATTGAATATTAACTGTATTTTCATTCTCAAAGAAAGTGGTAGAACTGAAAACGTGGCCATTTGCATTAGTTTGGGCAAGCAACTGTTTAATCAGGTGTCAGATTCTGTCATTGCTTGAAACTTTATCTTTATTTTCAGGTAGTTGTTATCTCTGACCTTGAATTTCTGTAAGGATTGCTACTGTTACCTTTGCAGTATCATTGTACCTTTCAAATACTACGTCCTGTAAACCCAGAAAACTTGCCTTGTAGACTGTAGCTACTGGAAATCTCCTTTCTACTTATAACACCTTTGTTACCTATCAGTGCCAAGTGACTTTGTATTTTTGATAATTTGCTGCTCTTGACCTGACTGTGACCACAGGAAAATAAAGTGGATCATGAGTGTAGTGGGATGTATGTTTTGTCAAACCTCCATACAAAACCTGATTATCCACGTGCTTTAAAAAGAATAGGCTTTGTAAGTATTTTGACAGATCAGTGAAAAGTTTTAAATTAGCACGCCCCTTTTTTTTAAGTCTAAAAATTTGTTTTCCATCTCTGGCATAAGTACCATGTTAAGTTGCATTCAACAGATGTGCAGTTATTACAGCAAAAGGATTTTTACAAATAGTATCTCTTCTTTTGTTACTGGTCTCTGTGAAGAGTTAGAAATAATAGCCCAAGGGGAAATACTGCCAATATTTCCAACCCCTGAAAACACTTTTTCTTTCACCCTTTGCAGTGATAGGATCAAGCTAGAATTAAGGATTAGTTCTATTTATTCATGCATTCACTTTTTTTTTTTTTTTTTTTACTGTTTTCATTTTGTCTCTACAATAAAAAGCTAATCTGCATAGTCTGACTTTGTTTTTGCCCCACTGTGGGAGACCATCACTAGATTTTTAGGTTGGTTGGTTTGTTTTAAAAACACCAAGTGTTCTGGGTGCTGATCAAGACACAGACAATAGACGCCCCTTGCTCTACAGTCTTAAATTTAAATTAGAGAAGCAGGCACAGAAATCCAGATGTGGATAATATGGAATGCAGTGTTGTCAACTCATGATTTTTGACATTTCTTATGCTGTTTGGAGTGTCTCTTAGTCCCAGTTTCTGGAGTCCTGTGATCATATGAGACTCTGAGCTTTTCATTTAAAAAAAGGTAAATTTCTTGTTCTTATGGTTGCAGGAAAAAAAAGTTTAATGTGAACTCGAAAGGCTGAAAAACCAGGAGGCAAATAAAAAGAACCTACAAATTATTATTTAATTTTCATTTTTGATCAAAACTCATACTTGGGGGGAGGAGGACTCAGATTTTTTGAACACGTAAGGCTGATATCACTGAGCATGTGCCCTTATAAAGCAGAATCGTTGCATATGGGTTTTTCACAGAAGATCTGCCCACTGTGATGTAGTTAGAAATGGCCTGTCCTTTCATGAAGGAGGAGGAGCCATTAAAACATTTGAATTCTTGTGATTGCAGCTCTCAATGAAATGGAAGTGCAAGCGCCAACGAGCAGTCTCCTGAGAGCACACCTAAATCTTTGGAGTGCCCTCCATAAGGCAAAAGCTAGTGCCTGGCACATGGGCTCTGTGGAAAAGACAATTGTAGCTTCAGTGTGTCATCCTGGCTGGCTATTCAGCTACTAAATGAAAACAGCATTCTGGATAGTCTCACAAATTCTCATAACTTCCATCTTGCAGACTTAAATGTGTCATAATTAGGAATTTGATCTCAAAGGCTTTTATTTATTTATTTTTAAGTACACACGCAATCTAGACATCTGTAGCAATGTTGCTTCCCCCCCACCCCCGCCCCCTTGCATGTGCACGAATGTTTATGTAAGGATTTGTTAGGTGTGAAATGGGCTGGAAGCAAACACACCAAAACAAATATAACTTTATGCTTGAAAACCCACAGATGGTATGTTTCAGCTACAAGAGGAGGCTAATGAAGCATAGGAAGGAAAAGAAACAAGTAATCTTACCTTTGATTAGTGGTTTTCTCCAATTGGTTTCAATATTTGGTACCAAGAATTGTGGGCAGGCCCTTACTGAAGGCAAAAGCGTCATCCAAACTCCTCCAAAAGAATGTACTAATATCTCTGCTTCATCAATTGAAGATGGCTGGATGATGTGGAGACTGGTAATGCAAAATGGGGTGGGCGGGACTCAATGAACAAGAAACCATAACACTGTTAGTGGCCTTGGTCAGTAAGTTACGTGAACCACTCATTTCAGTCTACATGAAGTGTGCCTCCTATATTATAAAAGAACTAATGGATTACTTCTCTCTGAATTCCAGGTGTCATGAGCTGAATGTTGGGGGAGGGGGAGACTCTTAAAAAGGGCACTTCAGCAGGCAGAGAGAAATTCCACTGGGAACGCCTGCATCTCTCTACCAACTGCCTCATAGTTGTCTGGAGTTGGCTACCGGAACTCTTGCCTTCACTCTACATACCAGCTATGCAGCTCAGCCAGTACCTGAACTGGAGAGAGGGTGGAAATAACTGGACAGAATCTCCACTACTTGCATTCTCTACCTAAAATGTTCTGTTGCCACTTGGATACGGTTGCAGATGAGCAGTGCTAAAACTAGTATGTCAACCCTGGTACATAGCTGGAGAGCACACCGCTTTCCCTTGTGTAGAGGCATATGGGCATGCGTTGGTAAATATCATCGAACAACCTAAGAAATGGCTGAGAAGGCAGCATGGAGACCTGCTGCCACCTGCTCAAGTGCATAAGGACATCAGCTTCAGTCACCGACGACCAGTGCCGCTAAGGAAGCTAATACTTTACCTTTTTAGCAGATTTTTCTATTCTAAGAGGTCAGTGTTAAAACTGAGTAAAGCCCTACCATGCTGCTTGGTACGGTGCTAGGTACAGGTACCATTGCATATCTCCGGAGAGGAGACGGGGACTGGATTGATCATATATGCCCTAGATGTTTCCTCCTGTGGGAGGAAATTGTTTTGACTTTGCAGCTTGTCCAGACCAAAAGCTGGGCATTGTTAGGGGGTTGGATTTTTTTGGGTACAGTGCCGTACAGGAAGGTAGTTTTTGGCACAGATCTTCCCTGCCTACCCCCATATTTATATTCATTTGCCTTCCAATTTGACTTTTGCCCTTGTTGACAGTGGCTGCCACTTCTGTATTGTTTCTCATAGTCTATTTATCTGTATCTAATCCAGAGGTGGGCAAACTACAGCCCGCGGGCCACATCCCGCCTGCGGGACCGTCCTGCCCGAGCTCCTGGCCCGGGAGGCTAGCCCCAGCCCCTCCCCTGCAGCCTCAGCTTGCTCGCTCTGCCTCTGGCGCAATGCTCTGGGTGGCAGCGCTGTGAGCTCCTGGGGCAGCACAGCTGCAGAGCCCGGCCTGACCCGGTCTCTGTGCTGCGTGGTGGTGGCGTCAGCGTGGCCCGGCTCCAGCCAGGTGGCACGGCTGTAGTGCCGCCAGCCACCGGTGCTCCAGCCAGCGCAGTGAGGGGGCAGGGGGGGTTGGATAGAGGGCAGGGGAGTTCAGGGTGGTGGTCAGGGGGCGGGAGTGTGTATAGGGGGCAGGGTGGTTGGGGGGGGAACAGAGGGGGTTGAATGGGGGCAGGGGTCCCGGGGGGGCAGTCAGGAAGGAGGGTGGGTTGGATGGGGCAGCAGGGGGCAGTCAGGGGCAGGGAGAAGGGGTGGTTGGATGGGGCAGTGTAAAACTAGCCCACAGACCAATGAGCTGACTGAATAACGGTGCTATAAATGCCCCGAGAAGTCTGTAGATAATATTTCCCAGTGTCAGAGCAGATGATGGTGATCCCAGAACCCTGGAATAACTCCATGAGTCAGGTATCAGAGGGGTAGCCGTGTTAGTCTGAATCTGTAAAAAGCAACAGAGGGTTCTCTGGCTATACTTCTGTTAGTCTTAAAGGTGCCACAGGACCCTCTGTTGCTTTTTCCATGAGTCAGAAATGTTCTGGTTTGATTTGAGTAGTGCAAGGATTGGAGACTCATCCAGCATCTTCTGCCCTCCCCTTGTGTCCTCCAGCTTCCCCTCTTTTAGACCACCAGAGGGTCAGAACGGACATTCAGAACTAAGCCCACGGGAGGAGGTGGGGGAGCCCCTAAATTTGTGCAAGGGCCCCAGCTAAGCTTGGTTAAATGTTGCCATGGTGCAATGTTACACTCATAATGTCAAACTGCATCCTTCTTACAGGATGGTGTCTGACTAGGGGTTAAGGGGCCTGACCCTGCAGCAAAGGCTGAAAGGGGGGGCCTAGGCTTCCTTTCTTTTTCTCCACATTCATATTTGAGGGTGTGAGCCTGCCTGCTTCCCCAGTATCGCTGCCACGGGACCATACGCGTCTATCCTTTCTGCCTCCTGATCGCTCCTTCCCCCTGAGAGTAGCTGGAGAGAGAGGCACAGCCCAAATGACAGCAAGGTCAGCCCACGAATGGAGAGTATTAGGTAACAAATGTTCTATTCAGCAGTCACTAGCACAAATCCAGGGAAGATGCTGGTAGATAATCATCAGTGTGCCTGTTGATTTTAACCTGCTGAACTGACTCCCCCTGCTCTAGGACAGTAGCCAACGCCACTGCTCTTTTCCTGAAAACCCATTGTTCTAAAGTGGCAGCAATGAACGCTGATTCCCCAGGGCCATGGCTCACACCCGTTGCATTACCTGTCTGGCAAGAAACGCCT